GGGGGGGGGGGGGGGGGGCATAGCTCACTCGCACAATTACGGTACGGTACTGCCACCATCACCTCTAGAGCTACTCCTAACATGTTCTATGCAGTACGTTTGCTGAAGATACACGACTCGAGAGCTACAGTGTACTACTCACTGCTGTAGTTTCTCGTTGACGTAGTTGATGCAGAACTGCTCGAAGTCGTTGCTGTCGAAGATCTCGAAGCCGTAGATGTCTAGGATGCCCATCGTCAGTCCCTCGGTCGCGCACTCGATGGATCGGTTCACCTGCAAAGACAACCACAAATATATAAAAAAAAATATACAAGTCAAAGGAGGAAGCACGACTACACGAAAAAACAAAACAGCAGCCACTTGGGTTTCCACTGAAGCTCCTCTCTTTCTCTCTCTCTCTCTCTCTCTCTCTCTCAACACATCCACGGTACCCCCGGTTCCGACCTTCTTTGAACCCTGCTGCCGTTGCCAAATGAAATAAAAACAAAACTCGTTACGAACGTCGACCAACAAATAAAAACACCAAAAAGCCGCAAAACAAATCCATCGAGAAGCAGACTCCTACCCGCGACACTAACCTCTTACTTCTGTTCAACCATCTTGCGCACTACCTTGTCTACGATCCAGCCGAACAGGCGGCGGTAGACCTCCTTAGCCATAGCGTCTCGACTCTTGGCTGCGTCTCCCCCGTTGAGGTTCTTGTGCTGGTCCCGGTTGTTGGAAAAGCCCTGGAACGACTGTTGTATACCGGTAGCAAAGAGCGACAAGTCCCACGGCAGCGAGAGGGGGGCAAAACGGAGGTAGGCACGTGGGTCACGACGGGTCTTGTTGTCGCTACCGGTGTTCTCGTCTTCACACACAACAAAATTTACGAAGTATGTGAAAAGCAGGACGCAAGTCATTTTGCACTACAAGCCTCTAGTTGGTCGTGGATACACCTCGAAAAAAAAAAAAAACTCTCAGACTCTTTTCTATGATAGAGATGGATTCGTTGTGTCATATTAAGAAAAAAAAAAAAAACTCAGTGCAGTTCGCCACAGGAACCCCCCACCCCCCCCACCCCGCCGGACGATTCTGGACAGTCTCGACCGGGGGGGGAAGGCTTTGTGTTCGTGAATAACCCAGGGAAATGCAGATAAAAAACATCACGTGAGCTCCTACATACCACTCGTACATCCCTTGCGACCCACATACAAAAAGACACTTCTGGTAAGGCTTCTTGGAGGAGCTAGATATCAATGATCCAATGCCACCGGGGTGCGGTGTGGGGTGTTGATTTTTTGGCAGAAAACACTACGGACAAAATAGCTCAGGTGGCTCAAGTCATTACAACTGACCGATGGCGACGTCGCGATCGTTCAAAGAGAAGGAGAAGGTTAAGGCGAAGGACAGCGGCAAGACACCCGACGACGAAGAGGAGGACATCGACAAAATAGAGCAAGCTTTAGACCGATGCGTACACACAACCGTCTTCAGGCTCTCTTGACGCCCGACATCTCTTACCTCTTCCGAGAAAATGTGGCATTTAGCAACATGTCAAACAATCATCGCTTGCACGTTCGCACTACTATCACTGCTTTGTGGGGCGATAACATGAAAATTTAAGAGCGATGCCCCCCCCCCCCCCCCCCGGGAAAAAAACCCCAAAATTCCCCACGCACC